CAAGGGGCTTCTCTGGCGTCCGCTTCTTCCTTCCCTCCGTGGGCCACTTCTTTCGTCCAAAATCGACTGACTAAAATGCATTTTAGGCGACTGACGTGCAGCTAAACTTTTCTTTTTACAAATGATTTCATTTGACAGTTAGCTAGATTAAGGCGTATGCTTTCCTTGCGTTAGCCGGAAGCAAAATGCCGTGTTGCGCGTACGTGCGGTGTGAGCGGCCGGAGATGAGCTCTGCACGAGACTATATCCGGCACGTATTCATGGCGCCCCTCCATGGAACGACAAATGTCCAACACTCATAAGTGGCAGTACGTAGAAACCGCGCCATGTGCACGAGCCAAGTACGCGCGCGCGTACCGGCCGTCGATCTCGTAGCTCTCTGCCTTGCTGCACTTGTAAGCGAAGCTACGGAAATGAATGCTGCTGATAGCTCCTACCACGTACGTGCAGCACGTCCAGGCTCGACAAGATAGTAAAATGCACAGTAATTTCTTCATGAAAAACACGGACAGATTTCCCCTTCCAGCGAGCATGTACACAGATAAAGAAAGATGCCATCCGTTGAAGAAGATACGCACGGGTACGGTGCACAGTCCAGTCCCGTTCACGTGTGATCGTTCCGCCCTCGGCTTTCCTAGGGTAGACCGCCGATGATGCCTGGACACTGGCTAGTGTGCGTGCACTGCAGAGAGAGAGACGATCCTCCGCCGGTCGTACAGCAGGAAATGTGAGCAGAAAGCAAGGGTTGTTGGGTGCGCTAGCTACTGGTGCATGCAAGGGGCCGGGCGATATGGAACGGACACGGACCCAACGGAGTAAGTGGAGTTGTTGATGCCCAAAGAGTTGCAACATTGTTTCTTTTTCTAGCTCGGGCCAAGTGGCTAGGCCTGAGTGTAACTTTCCGAACGGGGTTGCCAAAGGCATCTTGGACTAGCTAGTTCAGTCACATGCGCACGTACACGTACGCCATGCAATGCAGCTGGGGGCTGCAGGGCAGGGCACACGAATGCAGCTGTTGTTGAAAGCTTTTGTCCACTGGCATCGCTCGCCGTCCAAATCCACTGTGCCCTGAGATTCGCACGGTTATAATCTGACCGGCGTACCGACGTTGGTGCCTAGCAGGGAAACTATATGTGTTTGATCATGTGGTAACCGGCATGGGCTACAGTCTCAGAGACATTTAACATTTTACACACCTTCCCTCCACCAACGATCGACACCTCGCACGAGGAAACTTTCGCAGAGGAACACACGGCCTT